GTTTTATTTGCACTTTATTCACGATCGCCAAGAACAGGGTGTCAAACATATGGCCCGCGGGCCAGAACCGGCCCACAACGAGGTTTGATCAGGCCCGTAGGATAATTTAAAAGTGAAAAAATGCATATAAGACACGGAATGAATATTTTTAATAAAGTGCAATTCATGGAATATCCGCTAGGGGGACACACTGTTTTGATCAGAGGAAACGACAACGTTTTTTCGATCAGAGAAGAAGACAACAGCAGCCTCAGTCTGTCACTGAGTCAGATCCAACACAGCAGACGCTATCAAGGACATTCGAATACAGTAATCCCTCGCTACTTCACGGTTTTTTTATCGCGGGTTCAGTGCATCGCGGATTTTTTCAAACATATTCATAAAAAATATTAAAATATATATATATTTTTTTCATAGACATGGAGTACAGTACTGTATATTTTGCTCTATGTGACTCGCTGTTGTTTTGCAGCTTCCCGTGGACTGTTTGCGGACTTGTTTATTGGTCGCTACTTCACGGATTTTCATTTATCGCGGGTGGTTTTGGTCCCCATTAACCGCGATAAACGAGGGATGACTGAACCCCCTTTTTGGGGCGCAGGGGCGATAGCGAACTTTGTGAATGTTCGGTTACAGTTTTGTTTTGAGTTGTCCACTCACTAGGTAGAAAAACATCCACGACTTCTCAACAAAGACGCTACTCACCTTTAAACCCGCCTCGCAAGCGAAAACAAAACATCGACCCAACACACCCGTCAAAATGGTCTTAGAACAGTCCAACATATTCATCCTACAGCACGAGTAGCTCTCACTTTCTGAAACACACATGAGCCCCCCTAAAAATTCAGAATAAGAGATATTTTCAAAAGAAGTACATCCAAGAAGTACAAGATAATTGTTTGATGTTTTCGGACACAAGAGTGATTTGCGGCGAATGCGAGACGTCTTGGTGGCGGGTGAAAAGCAACAGCTGCTGCCCTTCCAAATTTCTCCATTGAACCTGAAAAACATTTTTTATTTTTTTTATGGCACTCGGTTCACAATGTTCGCAAAGCAAACAGGAAACATGTTATTTTGATAGCAAAAAAGTTGAGCCAATGCTTGGCCTTCTGCCTCTTGGTTTAAACAAGAACAACAACGCCAGTTGTCCAAACGGTTTTTGTGTAAACCTGAACGTGAAAATTCATTTTTCATCTGCTTGTTTCACTTTTTCTTTCAGGAATTGAATCCAGGTTTTTTTTCGGCAGTCTTGTATCTGTATTTCTGCTTTGGTAAAGAGAGAGAGAGAGAGAGAGTGTGTGAGTTCTTCTGCCACCTCATTCCAAATTTGGATTTTGGAAAGAGAGCTGGACCCGAAGACGAGGTGATGTTCTTTCCAGGGGACGTTCCACCAGTCTGACTGCAACTTGTGAGCCGCAGTCTGTTTGGGAAGCTGCGTACGCGCGCCTTTGCTTGTTTTACGACGGCGTGAGTTTAGTCTGGTGTTGCACATGCGCTGGCAGCAGAAAAATAAAACCGTCCAATGAGACTAGGAAATGAAGAGCTCACCATAAAAGTGTTGCAAAAGTTCAATTCAGATCTTTGATTTGACCAGTCTTTCGGTATTTCACAAAAGCATATCATTTGATTGGTCAGCATTCACACAAAGCCTAATGTGTTTTCAATTTCAAATTCAGGAGACAGTTGGGGGTCCCTGGAAAGGTTGGGGTGGTCATCAAGGGTTGATCTTAGGCCCCTTACTTTTTCCGATGCTTCCAGTTTGAGGAAGGCTCTTTTGTTCCACCAAGGTGTTTGGTGAATTTGATTTCAAAGAAGATGAGCCACCCCCCCCCCCCCTTTTTTTTTTTTTTTTTTTGTACTTACTGTCCACAATGTCTTCCGTTTCTTCTTCAGAAAAACGAAGAGAGTCACTCTGCTTGTGAGGTACAGATTCAAAATCCTTGCAGTGGTTCTAATACGCTCACGTTGTTATTTTGGCTTCATTTCCTGTGCCCTGCGCTCCGGGGGTGGTCCGGCACGGCCTGCGAGTAAAAGTACAAACAAAAGCGAGCGATCGGTCTCCTGAAATAGTGTGACCTTCTGACTTGTGTTGACCTCGACGGCCATCGCCGCCGCAAATAAGCCCAGGGGAAAATTTTGCTCATCGGGGTGCAAGAAGCTCTGTGGACTCCTCCCGTCGGGTTTTGCAGCCCCGGAAGAAGCGCGGTGAAAACAATGCAACCAAATAGCCCAGGAGACACTCGTGAGTTGAAGAAAGCACAAGGACTGGTTTTGTTTAGGCACTTGATTGCTTGTTGCCATTATAACAAGCCTTGAAAATATTCCCCGGTTAGATGTCGTATTTCAGCCCGAGCACTCTGCTCGCAAAAACTGTAATTATTCTTTGGCTAACAACACCGATACTTAAGTTAGATCCGCTCGGAGGTGCTCGCTGCGCAGGCGAAATTGTCAGCGCGGCCGAGGGCCCTCGCGAGCGAAAATGTGCCAAAGTGGAGGCAAACAAAGAGGCTGATGAGCTTTGATTGCTTCAGGGATGAAAGCGGCGATCGTCATGGAAAATGGAGCGCCTTGATATTACTGCATCATCCTTGTGCGTGCGTGCGTGCGCGTGCAAGAAAAGATGTGCAGTGCAACCGTTGCCAACTCCTCCCCCCGCCCCTCCACAGAGTAGCAATGTCAACACTGAGACGATGAGTCATCGTCGAACTCCGATGAAAAAAAGCGTACCGTAATCCCACGCGTATTTGGATTTTTTTTTTTGTCACCTGTCCATCCATTTTCTTTTTTGCGCTGTTTCTAGATTACTCATGAGATCTGATTTTTTAAAAAATTGATTTGCAAGCAATAATTTGAAATACGAACGCCACATGCAGCCGTTTGACAGATACTGACAGATTCCAACAAGTTAAACATCAAACAGCGAGGATGACATGTGTATTTAAAACAAACACGTCACGCTGAAAGTATGCAAGATTAATGCTAAGGCGAAATCCAAAATGCCATAGAGAGGCTAACTACTAGCATCGGTGTTGTGGTGTTATAACCCTTGAAGCAATTGGTATTTGAACACAAATGGTGCAGCAACACACATAGAGAGACAGGAGAACAACAACGACTGGCATATGTTCTTTCGAATAACATTACCGCGACTTACTACGATGCTGTGATTGTCTCCATGTATAGCCGTACGTCTGGATTAAACTGCCCCCAAGTGGCCATCAACCAAAAATGTTTTAACGGCCGAGATCATGTCTTTTGCCAAGCAGTCAATAGGGGCATCAAAGCATTCGATGTATCTCAACATTTATTTAGTCGTACTCAAAAGGTGCGAGCAACCTCAGCAGGATTTCGACAGCCGCTACCTTTGCCTCCGAATCTTTGACAAGATTGGATCCTCCTTTCGCCCCAGCCGTACTGCTATTTCAGGTGTGCCGAACGTAAGCCTTTCTTCCGTTTTACTGCAAATTCACGTTTTGTAGCTTTTTCCCATCTGATTTTACAGGAAACATCTGGATCTCTGGCCCCAACAGAGCAGCGTGGCCCCGGGTGATTGTGCGCCGCTCAGCTGCGAGGGCCCGGAATTAATGAGCGGGTATCACACGGGCTCCCACCGAGAAGCGGGGGGCGGCCGGCGGCATCCGAGACCACCGCGCCAAACGTCCGCACACAATACGCTCCCACGTGTGAATATTTCAAGCGTCTGAAGGAGACTTTTGATGCTTTTTTTTTTTCACCAGTCGAGCAGGTCCCAGGTGGTGTCTGTATACGCTGCCCCATGCACTGCCGGGCCAATGGCGAACCAGGCTTTTATTAGCATGCTCGGGTGTTGCATCAAGGCTTCTACTTTTTGAAGAGGAGGGCAGAATGTTGAAAACAATGGCTGTGAATTTTCAGTCACGGAGGCAGCACTTCCCACACTTGTCCTTCAGTGTTTCGGGGCAACGTTAGCATGCTACGATGAGGCGATTGGCTTCTATTTGCTGAAGTGGAGCCAGGACTGCTGAAAAAAAGTGATTGCTTCTGACTAAGATGAGAGTATTTTCATTCATGGAAGCAGCACTTTATATACATTGATCGACTTTGTACACCTCAATCGGTGATGCGAGGGTGTTGCGACAAGGTGAGCTGCCTCTCCTTGCTAAAGTGGAGCCAAAAATAAAAGCATTTTCATTCATTGAGACAGAACTTCACGAACTTGTCAATTAATGTGCGGGGGCATGCCTGGGCATCGCAACGAGGGAAGCGGCTTCCGCTTGTCCAAACAGAGCTCAGAATGTGGAAAAAAGTGAATACCCGTGAATGGAATACTTGCGTGTTGCCACAATCCAACCTTTTTTACTCAGGGAGGCAGTTCTTCATGCACTTGTCAATCAGGGAATGCGGCGCACGCAGCAGTCACATTACGGCCGTGAAATCCAGCAAGCCAGATTGTCATCGATTGTTTTTGTGAGGATCTGAAATGCAACCGACACACTTGCAGGCTTCCCATTGGCCGGGTGGCCTCACCTCAACAATGAAGTCCTTTCAGGGGTTCCCGATTGCATCAAAGCACGTCTGGGAAAACAAGATGCCAACAATTTCAAGTTGTTTTTTCTTGTAAGCGCCTAAAGAGTCATTTGCATTGTTGTTTTTCTCTTGCTTGGTTGGGGGGGGGGGCGGGGGTGCGGGGGTCCCAGCTCATTTGGAATGATTGCCAAGCATTTAAGCAGACAAGCTTTTTTTTTTTCATGTATGCGGTCAGGCTTGAAAGTGGCTCACATTCCCTCTGCTGTTAATGAATGTGACTTTTATGATCTTTTTTTTTTTTTTTTTTTAGAGGGGGGCTGGAGAAAAAAAGAGGGGGTTGAGGGGGCTCCGTTATTCAAGGCCATGTTGGTATTTTGGCCAATCATAATGAATGCTCGTGGAAATGTATTCAGCAGAGGTGCAGGCCAGAAATTGTTTCTCAGCTTACAAATTCTGCTTGTCATATATACATTTAAAAAAAATGATGCACAACATTTCCTTCAAAAATATGTTTTAATAAATAAGCAAAAATGTACAAAAAAAAAAAAGACTCGAGGGTGACCACGTGTGGGATTGCCTCGGTCCCTTTGCAGGCTATCGGCGCACTTGGACACATTGATGTACACGACGCATTCATTTCGACATCGACAATTTGCCGGAAAAAGTCTTCAGAGGGGGAAAAAAAAAGAGAAAAAAATGGCGATCCTACTGATCGCCTTTTGCCGTCACAGCGTCCCAACGACAGCTCGTGCAGTCTGCAGACAAGCGCGCACGCGCGCAGCCTCCTCGTCTCTCGTGAGCGCGTCAAATGACGTCATGGGCTCTTCCATAGTCCGTTTGGGTTTTGGAGACAGTCTGCAAGAGAAGAATGAACGACAAAAGTTGCTCATGGATGATTACTTCGATGAGTTCGGTGACATTCACACGACATCAAACGTGAGCATTTTCTCATCCAATGTTAACGTGAAGGGTGTGTGACGTCATCGAGAGAGCAATCGTATTTCGTGCGAAGGGGGCCTCTGAAATATGGTTGCTTCTTTTTTCTTCCATTTTTAAAAAGTGTTGTTTGTTTACCTAATTGACTGCCTAAAAAAGGGAGCAACAACAGGCATGAAAGGAATTTACAAAACAAAAAAAAATTCAGGAGCATTCATGGTTGGGGAGGGGATAAATAAATAAATGGAGTGAAAGCTTGTTTATTTATTGTTCTTATTGTGATGGAATCATGCGTTAGATTCACCTTGTTGACTATTTTGATGTTCTTAGAGCGATTCTTTCTATCTCGCCTCGTTTGTTGAACGCGATCCTGCGCTTTTTAAAAATGAGGATATGATTTTGTTTTCGCATTAGTTCCTGCGGCGTGCACACGGCGCAGAGGCCCGTTGCAGCAGCAGCAGCATTTGAGTGCAGGCCACCGCCATGCACGCGAGAAAATGTCCGAGTTGGAATGAAAAGCAAGTGGCTGTGGCAAGAGTTGTGGGAAAATTGCCTTTTCGCGATTAGTCTTGCTATTAGCCTGAACTTAATGGACTCAGACCGAAAGAGAAACAGTTTGTCTCAGTGTTCTCCAGATTCTTTGCGATATTTGGCCCCATTTTCCGTTTTGCCTTCCGTAAATAACAGACACCAATGCCCAATAATATTTTCCCACACTATAATCGATGAGAAAATTGATGTGAAGCCCATGGCTTCAATAACCGTCTCAAAAAAGAATTTATTTGAAACATTTTTGAAATGATTTGCCCCCCTCCATATTTTTTTCTAATTTCTTCTTTTTGCATCCCCGCAAGAAGCAAGCACCGATGCCCCAAAACGTTCCAAACAGGAGACATAAGATGTCTCGTGATCGAAGATGATCATGTTGCTATGAAAGATGCTGAGGTTACCCGCATGTGCTTTGCAGTCTGATAATCAAAGCGCGACGAGGACAAAAAACAAATGTCATGTAGCTACACAGGGGCGTTACCTTCGAACAAAATACTGCCAAAGCAAAAAACCAAATAAATAGTACACCTCAAGAAAAAAAATGAAGGGATTCAAAATGGGTAAATGTATTTGACGTTGATATCTGAAGCTTGAAAACAAATCTATGAACGAATATCAATATAACGGTTATTTTCTAAATGACAGCATTGATTTGCGGAACATGAAAAAAATGGTCAAAATACCAAAAAGGTCCTGTGAGTAAAAAAAAAAAAAAAAAAATCACTGAACCTTCTTTACGACCGCTAATCAAAGAGAAGCACTCGTGAAAAGGGAGGATTAAAAAAAAAAGTCTCGTGCGTTACGCACCTTTTTGGCATCCCACCTGGCTCGCGCCGGGCCCCTTTTAGTGCGAGGCGGACATGGACCAGGCGCCCTCCATCCTCCACACGGAGAAGGCGTAGCTGAGTCTCTCGTGGGCCACGTAGCTGCAGCTGGACATCTTGTTGTCCATCTCGTCGCTCTGCAGCACCTGACACAGGAAGTCGATGTAGCGCGAGGCCAGCTTGAGCGTCTGGATCTTGCTCAGCTTGTCCGAGGGCAGCGTGGGGATGATTTTGCGCAAGGAGGCGAAGGCCTCGTTGAGGGACTGCGTCCGCTGGCGCTCGCGCACGTTGGCCAGCACGCGCTGGTTCTGCAGCTCCTCGTACGATTGGGCCCCGGCGGTGCCGTTCGCGCCGCCGCCGCCGCCGCCGCCGCCGGGGCTGGGCTTCTTGCTGCGCTTCAGGGGCGCCGGGCTGCCGCCGCCGCAGCCGCTTCCGCAGCTGTCGTCGCCGCCGCCGGACTTCTTGCTGGGCCGCCGCTTGCGGGCGCAGCGCTTGCTGGGCCGGCGCTCGGCCTCCTCCTCGCTGGTGCCCAGGCTGTCCGCGGGGGACACCGGGGAGCCCGAGCCCTCCTCCATTTCTCGCTTGAAGAAATGCAAGGGGAGCGAGGAGAACGCGGCGTCCACCTTAGAAGCCGTGGTGACGAATCAAAAAGATCACCCCCCCACCACCTCCGAAATAAAGAAGAAGAAAAAAAAAAGTATCCGACAAGACTGGGGGGAAAGAAGCCGAAGCCCTCCGCGCGCGCGCCCTGGGCTGACTTAAAAGGCGACTGCTGGCGTCCGAGTGCGGCTTGGCATGTCTTCTCCTCGCGCAGGAAGTTTTTCCTAATTTTTGTTGGAAACCTCATCCCGGATTGGGATGCTAAATAGTTTGGAGGCTGGAAGGGGAGGGCTCTTTTTTTTTTTTTTTTTTTTTTTCGTGGGGGGGGGGGGCCGCCTGGACTTGACGAGTCACTTTTTTTTTTTTTTTAACACTTCGCTGTGGCTGATTGTGTGCAAGTTTGCCGCATTTCTTTGGAGTTCACCTTGACAAAGTGACACTGCAACAATACCGTCGGCAAACTAACGACAACAAAGCTCACGAAAGGAAGATATTGTCATTCCAAAGGAAAGACGTTCCACAACGCAAAGCACCTTTGGCTGATTTTGAATGTAAACCTGGTCTACGCCGAGGAGAGATTTACATGCGTCGTCAGCGTCATCGGTGAATCGACTTTTACCTCATTGTTCTCAACTACAAAATTCTCGAGCGGGTCAGTCACGTGGCCAGAGGGGTCGATCAATGTTAGATCTCCAAGCTTGCAAAAGGCATCGTCACTAAAGCAAAGAACACTCGAAGGCCCGTCGCGACGTATGCTGTACCTCGAGCAGATGGCGTCCACGTTGTTTGTCAGAGATCCAGCTCTTCATCTGGCATGTCATGTTTCTTCGGCACACATGGCTCACGTTAGAGCGTCGACTACAACCGCTGCCAGAGTGCACGGTTGTCCAAATCAGCTGACCGGACTCCCAAAAGGTCCGCGTCACGCTTAGAAGTAGCTGACAAAACAGAAAAGATAAAAAAAAGAGCAATATATTATCTTTCTTTGGTTTGCGGCACGAACGACGACGCTCGCTTGACTTTGACGACGACAATGCGACAGCTCGCTTGACGCAAAATGGAAATGGGAGCTTTCTTATTGCGACTGAATTACACTCATTGGGTCTTGAATTCAATTGGTCGCCCACGGAGCCAATGAGCCAAACGCATTAAGAAGCCGTTTGGCTGATTGACACTCTCGCCTTTGCGGTAGTTCAACAAGAATGACAAATTTCGGTTGCCCAAGAAGACCGCCGGCGATAAATGAAGCGAAAAGCTGCACTTTCGACTTGAAATCTCCCGTCGCCCCTGCAGACGGGGGAGGAACCCCCTCCGCTTCATCTTTTACTCGGCCTCTTTTTAGTGCGAGCCAGAAGTTCCAAGAGGGCCCTGAATGCAAAGCGTGTGGCCGGAATTCACACAGGTAATGTTTCACACATGTAACCGTGCAAGGGAAAGGTCTTGCTGCTCCATCGCGTGATACGCCCATCCGCAGATGACGCTCGTGGGCTTTGGTGAGCGGCAAGAGGAGGACCTCCTTGCCCGGTGGGGGGGAGCCACATTCTGCGCAGTGTCGATCAGCTGCGGGCTTCCCGCGCCTTCACCATTGCAGAGGATGAGAAGAAGCAAAGTGTTACTCCGAAGGGGGCGGCGGCGAAGAACGACAACGGCGGCATGACTCGCTTTTCACGTCGACGATCCGGCACAGGGGCGACGCCGCCCCTGTGCCGGATCAAAAGGGACATTTCTCAAAGTTGTTGGGCAATTCAGAATGTGAACACGAAGGATTAGACGGACGGGTGGGTGGCTGGATGGACGGAGTGACTGATTAAAAGATAGCACAACCAATGACAGAAGGACAGATGGATGGATGGTTGGTGATGGAACAATGGATGGATGGAAAGATGGATGGATGGCTAGATGAAGGATGAAAGATGCAACAATGGATGAAGGGCCTGCATGGATGGATGAATGAATGATGGTTGGAGCAATGATGATGGATGGATGAACGGATGGTGAACACTAGATTGAATGATAGAAGGATCAATGGATGGATGGAGCACTGATGATGGATGGAATGAGAGAATGATGGGTTGGTGGAATGATGACCAGATGGGTGGAGGGAATGACAGACCAATGGATGGTTTGATGGACGGGTGCAAAGATGGATGAATGGAATGATCGACAGATGGATGGGACGATGGATTGATGGATGGGAGGAAGGATAGATTGAAAGATGTGAAAGGGACAGGACGGTTGGATGAATTATGGACGGACGGACAGACAGACCGCTCGATAATGGCTGGATGGATACCTGGATGATCAAAGGTATTGGATGGACAGCAAAAGATGAGAGAATCGATCTGTCAGACGAAAAACAAATTCAAGTGGAGCATTACGACATCTCGTGCCTCGAAAGTGAGGCACGAGATCCCCTCCGCCCCCCACCCCACTTGGTCTTTTGCTGCCTTCCAGAAAGAAACGAGTCATACGAGAGGCGGCGAAAGATGACAACATGGAGACCAGCAAGACCTAAAACCCCAAGTGCCGACGATTCGCACCGAGGCCAGACGGCCCATCGCGGAAGACTTTGAACTGGACGGAGGAACACATTGCATATGTGAGCGACGTTACGGAAGAGATGATTTGTGAGCTGCCCGCCGACCATGGACCTTTACCGTTGTCGGCCTCGCCGCCATCACTCGTTTCCGATTGGGCTTGGACTTCGACCCCTGGCAAAAGGCGGGCGAGCCTCGCCCCCCGAACGCTCTTGGCCGGGGGATCTAAAAGCCGATGCGTGCGCCCGTTCTGCGCGGACATTATCACCTGATTATCTCCACCTGTCTCTTCTTCATGGCTGCCCTCTGCTGCGTGTGTCTTTTAAGTGTTTCAAGATGCGGCCCAAACGCTCCGCGGAGGAAGCCGCCAGCTGCTTCTCGTTGCTCACGATCCACACCGTCTATTACCGGCAGCCCGATCGCTTTGCGAGCTACTTGCGGCCTCGCGGATGCTGTTACGTCAACCATTTTGTCATTTATTTATTTCAGTATTTATTTAGTTTTATCCCTACCGACCATCGCATGCTGTCAAAAAACATTCCTTTGACTTGATCATACAAATCAAGATCGTCAGACATTTGTCCATCTACCCGACTCAAGAGTGAGTGGTGGGAGTCCAGTCTGGTACACACATGACGATAATCCGTCCGATTTTCTCCCAGTTTTGCCTCTTCCCGAACCAGGATGGCAAACGTCAGTCTTTCGAAGGCAGATTATTATTATTATTATTATTTTTTGTCATCATAAAATATTGTTCATGTGAAAAATCTCATGTGATCACTCGAAAATGAAGACGAACGAACACTTCCATATGTCTCGATTTTACTCGAGTGTTTCCGAAAAGGTTCCGCGGGACTCCAGGGAAGACTTGGTGGGGAATATTCGAAAGGCGTTTCATATTTCAGATTGTCTGCACCAACCTGTTTTTGGACTCAATGATCAGGACAAACTCGGTCTTAACGCACCACAGACGTTAGGGCAATCTTTTCGGGGATAAGATCGTTGCGCACTTGGCACCCTTGGCTGCGAAGCGGCAAACTCAGGACGAGGGATTATCTTGAGGCGTTTGCTCACCGTGGCAAAAATCAAGCGAGTTGGGTGAAGCAAATCCTCTTCTAAGTGTGATTTTTGACAGGGTGAGTTGGGCAGGGAGGAGAGACTGAAAGGAGGAAGAGCAGTGTGCTTCTTTGACTTTTTTCAAACAGTTTTTCACAAGAATAATGTTAATTACTGTTCAAATTCCTCTGCGCTGTGATCCAAAGGGGCTCCCGAAACTCACACCCACGGACCGTCTTCTCCCTTCCCGGAGCGAGAGCATTCGGCTTTTGGTTGTCTGCAAAGGCGTTTGGGTGTCCGAATTTGTGAGGCGAAAACAAAGAGACGCGTCTGTTTTACTGCGCGTTGCTTTTCCAGTAAAATGTGACTCACCCGAGTCATTCCAGAATAACAACTCGCGCGTCAGCCTTGATTGCAAAGCTAATTTCGAGATCGGTTGACGTGGGAGGATTACATCACGTCAAAGCAATAACGCAGGATTGAAAAAAAAAAATAAATCGATCAAATAAAAGACATTGCCGGCTTTTAAATGCGCCGCCATAAACGTCCCCGGTCCTTTGATATCGCGAAAGCGCCATTCGACATCAGCGGCCGTGACATAAAACCAAAACGGTCTCGTGTTAAGGGGAGGCCTCGGCGGTGAATGAAACAACAGGCAGGTACCCGTCGGCCAATAAATCGACACTCCCGGCCACTCGGCTCGACTGTAAGCGAGCGGCCATTCGTTCCGACCCGCGCTTAGCTCGGGCTTGATGACAAGGTGTTTCTGAAATGGCATTAGGGGCCCTTTCATAAAGCTTTAATTGGCACCGGGGAGCAGCTTGAAGCATTTAGGCTTCGCTTAATGCCATGCGGACTCACTGCTTTGTCTCCTGCGTGGAAGGGGGCCCAGGATGGCGGGGACCCCCACTGTCAGCGTTTGCTTTGATACGTGAAGATGGAGGGGGTTGCGTGGAAGCGGGGTGGGGGGGGGGGCATAGTCACCCCTCCCTTCTCCTAAACACATATAAACATGCACCCCGCCCCACCCCTCATCCCCAAATACGACATAGCTTTGCTGGCCTACAGAGTCACGGCCATCCAATCCAGCCAACATACCAAGACCGTCTCGTTTTACATTAACCCTTCAAAGGTGACAATAGTAGAATAGTACCAAAAAAAAAAAAAACACACAGGTGGTGACACACCCCTAAAAATGTGGCCTATATTTAAACCATAAATATGCCACAAAGTGTGATTCCAAAAATATCGGAATGACCCTTATCAAGAAATGGTTTCCAGATTATTTGAAATTCACTTTTTAATAGCAGAAGAGCAAAAATCTGTACGCATGCAGCAAAGACTCGACGTAACCTCCGTTTACAATCCAGGCCAAAATTGGTGGTGGTGGGGAGGGGGTGAGTTCAGGATTGGTCAACCATGGACAGAAGCGGCTTGAGAGTCGCGGTGATTTGCAAGAAGTGTCAAGTGACAAGAGACAAACTCCTGATAATTATTATGTAGGGGCAGATGTATGGACCATGTTCTGTGGCCTTCTTTAAAAAAAAAAAAATTATTTTTGGGGGGGGGGGCTCACATTCAGGAAATCTCACCAATTGTGCCAAGTGCTGGTAAAAATTCACTTCCTGGCACAACCTACAAAAGTTTTATCCATTGACGTGACATTTGGTGGATGTAATTATTGTAAAGAGGAAACACAAAGTGTAAATTTTAAAGCAGCCCTTTCTGGTGAATTCCAGGGCGTGTCCTCCGATAAACTTCTCTTGGCAAATTTCTCCAACTGAGCCGCAAAAAGCAGGCATCCTCGACCGAAGGGCCGTCCAAAATTTGCAAAGATATGCCCCGAAAAAAAAAAACCCAGGGTCGTCGCCATTCGCCGCTTTAATTCATTTTGGCTTTGGTGCCGTAAGAGAGCAGCAACGTAACCCCAATCAACTCAAATACACTTCACCGCCTTGACAGTTACAAAAAACAGTGTCTGTGGAGCAATTATTCTGCTTATAAAGTCATTATATCCATTATGATGTACTACTTCCAGGATCTGAACTTTAACCGGACGCGAAGAACGGGGGAGGGTGCTACACTTGTCGATCGGGTCAGAGTGAATTTGTTGAACAAATGACAGAGGGACTGTGCACTTGGGTGCTGTTGCTGCAGCCTCCTGCACAAATAATGTCGCGTAATTAGCGCTGCACTTGTGACCCGGGTGCCAAGGTTAGCATGACGGTCGCTCCCACTTTCACAGCGCCATGATGGGGGGCCACGGCCAGGTGCACCCCCCACCCCGCCGACCCCGAGTGGAGAGGAGCCGCGCCAATGAATGCGTGCTTAGACCGAGTTCGGGCTCTTTGGAGGCGGGCTCGAAGCAAAAGGGTGGGCAAACAGCAGCCGTGTTGATTCTGCTGATTGAGCTGAGGACACGCGGGGTGAAGATCGGCAGATGTCAACAAAGAGGAGGCCTTGACACTCCCCTGTCACTCACTCAATGTCACCTGTGTCACCAAAAATATCCTCGTCTTCTCAAGCCTGCGATGTTTATTTCGACTGCACGTCATGGAGATCTTTAGGAGTCTTGTTTTTGACAGTCACGGTAAAAGTAATGGGACTGATTCAGTGTGCAAGATTTACACAAAAAATTAAAGGGGTGCCACATGGACCAATGTTAGAACCCATAACATTTTTCACACTTTTCAGTTACTCAGGCAGCAACAGAAATCGGACGTCATGCCACACCCACATCTCCAATTTGCTTACAGGAGCCCCCAGCCCCCCCAAAAAAAGATGGTTGTTGAGCCATTAATATTGCATTGTCACGGAAAGCAAGACATTAACGTTGGTCAACAATTTGTGAAATGTGAAAATGAATAAATTTGGAAGTATGAGGTTTCAGGATACAGCCTACGGTTACCGCTTGTAAAAATGGCGAATATTACGGCAGCTTACTAAAGAATGAGGAGTCTCCATGTGATATTTGCATGTCTGTATTATACTGCCTCCAGGTGGCCAAAGGTTGCACACCAAAACGAGCAGGACAATGTCCATTGAATTGGAGCAAAACGTGTGATTAAAAATGGTTCAATTATTTACATCCAATTTCATTCATTCATTATTGTAAGTTTTGTTGGAACAGATTCATTGCATGTCCACCAAAAAAAGAGGCCTTTCTTGCCTGAACTGCATTGACAGGCTGTTTAAGGCGGAGACTGATGGCCCTGCAAGCTCACGTTTCTAACACCTCATCGAATCCGAGAGGCGGTTGGTGTTTACTTCTCTCCATGTAGTGTGTTTGCCGTGGTTGCCGGGAGGCCTGAGTTACTCGAATCATCCAAGGAATCATTCAACGTTCCAGGGTTCATCCCAGAGGGCTTCAAATGCGCGGCCCCCCACCGCTGGAGGTCCTTGGATGCAGGCCCCCGGGGACACATTTTGAAGACGACACCGCATTTTTGCCTTGGCGCGCTCGCGGAGGCTCAATGCGTGCTCTTGTGAAGCCTTGTAATGAGAAAAGCAGGTGAGCTTTTTAACAAGGCTTTCACAGCTCTTAAAGTACCAACACAGTGGGTCACCATGGTGATGGGAGCCCGATGCTTCTGGCGAGTCAGCGTTTTTCTTCTTTCGGAGGGACAGACGTGGTTTCGCAACAGGGATTTTCATGCTTGATGTAGATTTTGAATTTTTTTGTGTGTATCAATCAATTTGATTGGATAAGCGTCATTCCATTAGTGTTGTTGTACAGTACAACAGGAATGAACCTTGAGGTACTGTGTCACTTGGCCTCGCAAGTGCTCTCAACTATTCATTTGGCAAACATGAGCAGCGCGTGGGTTAGGCCAAACGATTTTACGAGAACAAATTCCTAATTCCTGAAGTCGGCAATGAAAACCGCTAGTCCGGGCTTTTCATCTCTTTTCAACAAGCCTGACATTTTTTTTAGGTTTGTTTTTGGCCAGAAGATGAAAAACAATCGCTCTTGTGTCATCTTCTTCAATGGAGTTGACAAAAGGCAAGTTGGAGCCGAGACGAGCAAGCGACTTGGCATGGCCAGTTAATCATTAAAAAAACAAAAAATAAAAACTGTGAGAGCCGGTGTTTTCTGACGCTCTTGTTTTAAATATGGGGAAGGCTAGTTGTCCCGTTGCTCATTTCTGCTAGCTACATATCAAGCGATTTCTTGAAACCTTCCCAAGCGAGCATGAAACGCAAAGAACCCGACACACGGCTGGAGTAGAAATGTGACACAATGTACACTTTGTCATCTGGTAGATGGCGAAAAATGGGAGACGTGAATGAAATCAACGAGAGCGCGCCGTGAAGCTCTCGAGTCGGAAGCAGTTAGCTAGTTAGCTCAACAGCTAGCTGGCTAACGGCAGCGTTCATCATCATCACCGGTTGAGCGAAACAACACAGAGGGCGGTTGCGCCCCCTCAAAATTGGCTCGTTTCAGCGCTGTCGTTTTTGAAAACGGATTGCTTTGAGGGTAATCCGCCCTATAAATCAAGTGAGCTCCAGTGAGTATTGCCCCTTTTGAGGAAGACGTTTCCTTTGTTTTGAGAGATACTGTAGCTATGTGACCTTACAGCAGGTCTGTTGAACACATTTCTCGAAGCAGACGTAAATTGTTCCAGCAGGATGTGATGCATGTAATTGTATTTACAAAGGCTAGGCCCAGACTTAGACACGATAAACACACCTGCCTCGCATGTTTCTCGCTGCAAATTGGGCTGAATGCGAATCAATAAATGAGCCCAATGCACAAAAGAAAGAAGCCCGCCGCTCTTCACGTTGAAAGAATTTGACTCACTGTGGTCTCCTCGACAGCGGATTTGAAATAGACCAATCCAAACGCATTCGTGCAAACGTTCAGCTTTAATGGATGTTTCATTTAAAAAACAAAACAAAAAAAAAACAATTTTTGAAAAAGACGACAAAGTGCACCGTCGCAGTCAACGACGTGCTTGAGTTTCCGCCCTCGAGATTTCTTTGCAAGGTCCACAAAAACATTGCCACGCTGCTCGTTGGTTCATCTGGCTACCGTCACTTTTGTCAAAGGTGTTGTTGAAATCAGGCCACTGACTCGGAATATTCCGTTTACGTGCCCTTCGTAATAACTTTCTTTCGAAGTATAATCAGGGTTTGTTGGTGAACAAATGATCAAACTTTGATGCTCCGCCCGGCTGGCATAAGACGGCAAAAGCAAAAAAAAAATGCTCGGCAATTTAGTGCTTCCCATCGCTTCCAAATGGGGATCCTCTGCACAAATTCCTTCGCAGGAGTTTGTTAATGTATGACCTCTAGAATTGGCCCAAAAGGCTTTTTCCAGATAGACTCTTATGATGCACCGTATTTTCCACACTAAAAGGCGCACTGGATTATGAGGTGTACCTTCAATGAATGGCCTATTTTGTAATTTTTTCATACGGTGGGCGCATCGCATTAGAAGACGTAATCTACAATGCATCCACTAGATGGAGCTATGCTCAAGGAAACCCCAACAGATCGATCAGATGTCAGTAAAACTTATTTAATAAAGCGGCGACACGGTTCATTTAACCAACAGCAAGTTACAACATTGACTCATTAATGTTGAACTCTCTTGCCGCTGTTCTATTTCCGTGTTCAACTGCGTAACCGATCGCCTTCAGTTTGAACTCTGCGTTGTCAGCACGTCTCGAGCAAGGAGCCATTTTGGGGTCGAAATATTGCCGTAATGACCATACACAAGGCGCATCGGATTTTAAGGCACGCTGTGAGCTTTCAAGAAAATGCAAGGCGTTAAGGTACGCCTTTCAGTGCGGAAAATACGGGACCCAATTTTGTGTATATCGCTCCAACTGGAGCCAGGGAGCTCCCGAGTGAATTATTTTGGGGTTTTGAGACATGCTTAAATATACAAACAACCCTTTATACCAAAATACACACAATTGCAACATATTTGAGCAGATTTGAGATCCCCCAAGAGGCGATATTCCTTGTTGGACTTTGGGTAAAGGATGAGTCTTGGCATCTGCTGCTCCGAACTAAAATGGCCGATTGTTACATTTCAATCATGGGCTATTGAGTTTTTCTTCCTGGGTTGTTACGATGGACAGGCGCAACCATTTTGGTGGGGATCATTCAAACAGGTGTTCGTAGCACTAGGTGTGGGTTTTGGGACGCCGAAAATACAACCAAACCCCTACCAAAATGGATCCATTTCTGTGCATGCGACAGCCTACAAAAAGACGATTCGGGATAACAATAAACAACAATTCCAAAAGAGCCTTTGCACTGGCGAGCAATATTGTGCACATGAGTTTTTTTAAGCATAAATTAGCCATAATTAGGTTTCAATAAATAAATAAATAGATAAATGAGGCGAGAAACGAACAAAAGTGTCGACAAGCTGCCGTCGTGCCGTCATCTGGGTCTCACTGTCGTCTCATTTACATGATCAAGACTCTTTTCTCACACACTCCAGCGCGGGATGGAAGGGCCCCGGAAGTCTCATGCCAGCGTGCCCCCCCACCCCACCCCCTCTCTCACTCACTCTCGCTGCAATGTGACAAGTGGCATCCATTTGGGCAAACAATGCCCACGGCCTTTCCGTCCCGCCAAGGCCTCGCTGGCAAAGGTTCTCAATGACCAGTCGACCATAAATTACAATATTAAAAGCCTGAGGTGCGTGCGACCCAGTGAGAAGTCTGCAGATGTCGAGGAGAGAGCAAGACGGAGATCTCCGCATTCGGGGGGGTGCCCCACAGCCCTCAACTAATCCCACTTTATCCACGAGAGACGAGCTGTCAGGTCTGGGGACACAAAAGCGGAACAAAAAACGTGAGTTTTGATACGTTTCAATGACTGTTTAATGAGTTCTATATGGAGGCACACTTACTACTCAATGGCCACAAAGAGAGACTCGAGAGCAGAATTTTTTGAGTAGGGTTAAAAAGAGAAAAAAGAAAAGACAGCCAGAAAACGATTGGATGAAATCTGGAGTACTAATAAAGGAAACACACCTGGGAGTGGAAGTTTGCAACTAGCACGACTTGAAATGACTTTTCCATTTAATCACAAAACTCCTCTTTGCACCTAATCCTTCAATTAATTTTTGACAAGCTTTCTTTTGTAAACATTCACAATAATGCGTCAAAGGTCAACCTACATCCTCAGTGACATACCCAAAAACATTTATACTGTACTTTTGTTACTGTAGATTTTTCAGGTATCTGCGCATAAATTGAGTGTATATTTTTCTGGTGACTTTTTACTTTTACTTCCTGCACTGGAAAATTGCGCACTAAGAAATGTCATTTAGGTACAAAAATAAATTTAAAAAACTTTTTCCCCCATATAAGATAGTTGTTTTGATCATTTACCTGAATGGAAAAAAAAAACGTAAATGTATACAAAATGGTTTCCCTTTTATTAAATTGCCTCGTGAGAATAAACACACACACACACACACACACGCACGGAGGTCAGGCGCGTCGTAAACCGAGGACCCGCTAAGATTTGTCTTGCGTCACACGAAAAAAAAAAACGAGCCTCATTGTCATTGGGAAGGCAGAAAGGGATGACGATCGCTCACCACTCGTGTTCCAAATGGCGTTAGTGTGGTTCTTGTATCCGCTCTTCATGCACTCGTCCACGTAGGACTTGGGGTCGCAGCCGGACATGAGGATCTCCCTGAGGAGGGCGATGTAGGCTATGGCCAGCCGCAGCGTGTCGATCTTGGACAGCCGCTTCTCGTACGGGAAGGTCGGCACGTGGCAGCGCAGCTCCTCGAATGCCGAGTTGATGCTCAGCATCCGCTTCCGCTCGCGGATGTTGGCGGCGTGCCTCTGCACCTTGTACGGCTGCTGGGACACCTGCAGCCGGCGCGCGCGCTGCCGCTTGGCCGCCTCCGACGACTCGTCGGCGCCGAAGTCGTCGGCCTCCTCGTCGCCGGGGGACTGCGCGTCAAAGTCGGCGAAGGTGAGCTGCGCCTCGGGGAACACCGACTGGCAGCCCAGCGAGGAGGACCAGGGCGACAGTTGGCCGCCGGCCGCCGCGGCGCCGCCGCCGCAGTCCAGCAGCAACGTGTCCAGCTGCGTCTGGAACTGCAGGTTTTGCTCCATCTGACCCCAGAAGGCGAAATCCGGCGAGGCATCTTGGTCCAGATCGAACAGAACGTCCTCCATGGCGCGGTGTGGTGATTTTTGAGCAGGTGGCGCGGGAGGCCGCCGCGCTCGTGGGTGACCGAGTGACGTTGCGCGTCACCGCGGCGCGCGTTAAATACCTCCAGGGCCTCCGTGTTTTCTGAAAGGAGCCTCTTGAGAACCCTTGCTAAAAAACAATTACAAAGGGATCGGTTGATCTCCAAATGACAAAAAGAATGGGGGGGAAACACGTGTCCAATTATAGACCCCCACCTTCGCCCAGCCCTCTTCCAAGTAGTCCCGCTAATATTGACAAAACACTATTTAGTGAGTTGAGGACTTGCGCCGCTCATTAAGTGGCACAGCAGGCCCACGCCGGGCCTGTGAATGAATGGACGCGTTTGGATCTATTTAAGCTCAGCTGACTACTGTCAAAAACACACGGAAGCACTTTCAAAAGTCTTCCACATCTCATTTCATGACCAAAAGTGGGGTGTTTGCATTTATTTTAGCACGCGCAATGGATGGACAATTACATCGATCAAGAATCAAAAAAGAAGGAATTAAGAAAAATTAAATCAAGCTTTTAGCAAAAAGTGCTCTTAAGAAAATGCACTGCGTTTGTGTAAAACTGCACAAAGTTGGCTGAAATTCATGTAAATCATTGAATTATTCCCAAGTGAAATGAATATATATTTTTTTAAAGGCACGCAGTTCTTTTGGGTAGTGGGGAGGCAGCGGGTGTACCTAATGAGGTGTCCCTATCGCGTATTTTCGCACGAACAGCCCCAAAATGGATTCTGTCTTTATTATTCGTTCCACATGAATTACTGGACATAATCTGATCATGATTTGCCCATAAAAGATCGACTTGTGAGGTGCAAAATGCAAACAATGTTAAGAAATGTGGATTCGAACGTAATCCACCCGTGGGTGCTCGCAAACACGCGCTTTTTATTTCCCAAAGTCCTCCACAAAGTTAATTCTCGGCAAACCTGTTTACACTCCTGACAAAAGAAAGAACGAAAGCAAGAAGGGGGGCCGTTTTCTTCACAAGCAGCTGATTCGAAAGCAAAGACGGGTGAAGCTTGCCGCCCCCCCCCCCCAAAAAAAAAGAAAGTGAGAACGGGCGTTTGGAATTTTGAATAATTTACACGATGCAAAAGCCATTGTATTTTGAAATTGGGATGTGGAAAATGTGTTGTAATTTTAAACGAAAAGAGACAAAAGCCACACGACCCCAATCAATGGTTTGATGACGGGTCGAACATTGAACGATAATTATATTAGCATTCTTCACCCCTCCATCCCCCCCCAGTAGTGAAATGTAGGCTCCAATCCGAGCCAAATCAACACGCGAGTGTTTATTTTGAAGCCGTTCCCAACAAGTGACGATGAACAGCGATGCTAATTTGCAGCCAGCATTGGGGCATGCAACGTGCTTTTACCTCGAACGTCAACAGAATGACGCAGGAATGCAACAATAGTGAGGTCAATTTGATTTCAGTTGTTTGCTTGCTTCGAAGTTTGGCAAAATGCCGTCGTAAAGACTCGAAAGAAAAATGGCCCTCTAATATTGTGCGTTATAAAAACATTTGGAGAGACACAACAGAATGTGAAGCATAAAATCGTTTTTTGCTTCATCTCATTGGACAATGGGCTCCGCCTTCTGGTGTGAACATGTTGGCCACCTGGGGGCAGGATAATACAGACGTACTGAGGCATGCGAAGGACTTTGTTTCAATTACTCAGTAAGCCGCAGTAGCGCGTCGTTCTTCACAGAGGATAAAGAATATAGACCTGCAAGTACCGTAATATTGTCTGTCTACGTGTTGCTCCACTATTTGTAATCAAGGAGTTGTTGCTTGAAGGGCAATGAGACAAAAACATAGATGCAAATTTTTGTGATTGTTTAAACCGACAACGCGTCATACTCTTTGTTCGTAAACTTCAACCAACAGCTTGAAGCTTCTTTTTTTGATGACCGTCTTCCAAACTGCTGCTTGTCTTGAAGTGAGCGCAGTTCCCAGCCACCATAGAGCGGACTTAGCTCATATCTTGAAAAACTCTTGAGCCGGGTCACTCATATCTCAAGTCGTCACTGTATTCGGTAATTAGAAGTTTAAATAATCGACCTTAAGAAACAATGGCCACACCATCAGTTTTCACTGAGGGTTTGTTTTCGTAGGCTCTGCCGCATTGAACGAGTGATGAAGACAGAAGCAGCCAGACCGGACCACTCTGGAGTGCCCCGAACCCCCCCCCCCCCCCCCCCCCCACCCTTTTTTTTTAGCCGCCCTGTCAGCACCTTCTGGCTCCTCTCTGCCAAAGACAGCGCAACCCCAGCTGACGCTCCACGCTTCGGGTCTGCTCGGGTCCTGTCACAGCCAGCCTGGCCTCATTGTTTGTCTCACAATTCATCCGCTCAGGAGGCTCGGCGTTGCGCAATCAATGCTATTCGCACGTGTGTCAAGTGGAAAAGGCGGCCAAAACAAAGAGGGCGTGTGCTGTCATGGTGCTAAAAGTAAAATCAACACAAGACGATGGAGCAACAGACAAGCTGCCCGGGGTGGCCTGGTGAACACAACCATAGACAGTTGTGAATCTTCACTTAAACCGAGTTGGCTCTTGGCAGTCACTTGTGGGGCTACCAACCTTTCACGCACACACATTCTCACTGGGGACAATTTATAATCTTAAAAGAATCTAACATGCAAAGCAGAGTCAAACCAACCCAGAATGCATCAACTGTGAGCCAGATGTCAAAGCCAAAAGGTAAGCAGAGCTGCACCAACTATACTTCAGATTAGTCTCCTGAAAACAACTAATGGGGTGTTCTTAACCGTCCGGGAATTTTGCTAAAAACACATCACAGACATCTTAAGACACATAACGGCTATTCTAAACTGCGGGGGTGGGTGGGAAAAATAATTAGTAGGGATGGAAATTGAAAACGGCTTGCCGTAAATATTCCTACTGTAAGAACAACAAAACACACGGGTTTGAAGTTGAATTGTCGCGAGCGACATAAAAAGTCAGAGCGAAAGCAAAACTCGGCGCCAGAATGCACACGCGTGCTCACAGCGAGGAAGAAGCACGGCAAAGTCTTGCGGCCCAACAACAACAGCGCTTCATTCCAGAGTCGTGTCCTGCGACGTGCGTCGCGTTTGTTTGCGTCCGAGGATGATAAGCATCGCGCTTCCAAAGGCCTCTGGGATCCGTCTTGGCGGCCGAGCGCAATCTTTTGGCCGCTTTGATCCGCACTCGGCCATTAGAGTGTCATGGCACATTGACGCGATAGCTCAGAGCACAAGTTAGCCTTGACTACACAGCAGATTAGCATTGCGATAGGAATGATTGTTAGCCTTACACCAAGTATGGCTCGGAGCTGAGGTTGAGCCAGTTCACTACACAAACGATGTGAGGGAGGGGCTGGGGGGCTTGCTGGTCACATCACGAATCGAACGCCACGCACGGCGACAGTTTTTTGGGTGACTATCGTAAAAATGAAAGTCCATCGTACTTCAAGGCAAGAAGCGGCGCTGTTTTCATTGCAGGCAGCGAGTCTGGGAAAGGCATCACGGGAAGGTAAAGTGGGCCCAAAGCAAACAGGCCCTCCAGGGGCGCCGGTTCTCGCTCGCAGGGCTTGCAAAAAACCCCCCAAAAAAGCCTGGCGCTGTAAGCAGCCTCCGCTTTAATAAAAGCACTTATAACATGGATAACAGGTGTAAGGCCCAGCACGTGACTGCGACCGTGTCCTTCTAGCGCTGCGCACGCATGAATCAAAGCAAATGGGCAAAAGTATAAAAGGCAAGCAGAGGATGTCGCGCTGTCGACACCGTTGTGTTGGGCTTGTGAAAAACAGCAGCTACAGAAAGGATCTGGGCTGTCTCGGTTTTTGACGGCAGAGGTTCGGTATGTCGAGGGTGGCGCCGGAAAGAACGGTCACCTCCACGCGATGGCGAGGAAGGAAGAATTCATGCCGTCAGGCGGACTAACACGGGAGGAGTGTCGCAGTATTGGGTTCGGCGTCCCGCGCAAGACTCCTTTTGACGGAACAAAATGTTCTTTTTAATCACAAAAGATGGCAAGCAATTCGACGAGAGCCGATTTGCACAAGAGCGTCTTTTCGGCAAAAAAACAGATTTCAAACGGTGGAGCTTTTCACACGGCGAGGAATGCATTAGCAGACACCCAACTATGTCACCGATCAGCTCAAGTTCTTATTTGGTGCGAAAACGGGGAGTCGTGCCCGACATCCGTGCGGCATGACAGGGCACAGAAAGCCAAAATCGGCCAACATTGCGCCCGATTGCACTTTTCCCGTCAAAGTCAAAGTGACTTCTAGCCATTTTTGCAGTTGAATGAATGAATGAATGAATACTTTATTTTCATTGCACACTTGTTACAACGAAATTCTGCAGGAGCCTCCACCCCCAAGTGCGTCGAAGTATAAAAATATAAAAAAAATATATAAATACATTGCACTCCCCTAGACCCACACACAATCACACGCACACGTTAAAAATTGATAGTCAGCGTTATGGAATGGATTTTTTTTTGTTTTCAGTTTAACTTTCACATTTTGACCGGATCATTCTGATGTGTATTTCCCTGAAAATTCATTGGCGTCAGCCCGCTTCAGGGGGACGCGGACCAACCGGAACGTTGACGATTTCGCCGTGAAGCCTGCAGGTCACTTTTATGAGGACACTGAAAGCAGATGGAAATGTCCTCAGTCTGTGACGGATTCCTGAGACGAACACACAAACACACACACACACACACACACACACACACACACACACACGGATGGGATCGTACTTTCAAAAAGCTGTCTCAGGTCACTGCAGAGACTCCTAAAGACCAGCTGCTATCTTTGTCATAGTCTCATCTCTCTGTGTTCTCTGACCCGGTTGTCTCGATCATCAAGGTAGGGGAAAAAAAAAAAATACAACTTCAGCCTGTTCATCCTTTCTCCTGCATTTTCTTTTTTTTTTTTCTTCTTTTTTTTTTAGGGTGGACCCTGTCCAGCGTGGAACTTGCAACTGAAAAGGAATGCTTTCATTTCGGACCTTCACACTCTCGACGACCTTCCGCATTGACGCCGGACGGGAGGCCGTGTCCAAATCGAGCTGGTGAGGCACATTTTCCAGAGGGTTGAATTGAGGAGAGAGCACGCAGGGA